TCGGTTTACAATTTATGTGTTCCTTGGGCTAACATTCCTTCATCTCTACACTCTTTGTTCACAAGCATCACCATTCTTCTATTATTGCATGATTCTGACCTAGCGGTATCTGATCCGAATAATGCAGTCGTTTGGCCAAGTTCTTGTCTAATTGATTTCATTTGATCAGTTCAATTTTTAATTGACACTACCAATTGTCAATCTAAATTATTTTTTTTTATATTTCACTCCTCATATGTTCTATTTAAAGAATTTTTTATTCTAACATAAAATCTACTTGAATCTAATAAAATATTTAATATGTGAATATTTAAACATCACATCACTATATATTTTAGTGTCTCGCATCACTCAAGCATATCATGTACAATGGTATTAATTGCAACATCTAACTACATATTAGACTTTGCTTTCGAGTAACATCCGATCATTTCATATAATTATTCTCATGAATTTAACTCTCACTTAATCCCTATGGTTACTGAGACCCTTTATAAGAAAGCCTCGAATGTGCTACTTTACTCAATAGAGAGCATATTCAACACTTGATTTTTTATACTAATCTAGCAATCAAAAGTGCATTTATCGAATATGTCCTCAATACAGTTCTATAAGACTCTTATCGAATCCAAATGTCTTCTAACACGAGACTTACGAGACATCCAAAAATACACCAATGTTGTTTTTACGACGCAATACATCGAATAATTAGAATCTACATTAACATGTTCAAATTGGTGGTTTTAACTTTTTTTATCCTAAAGTATCAAATTGAGTTGATCATTCTTGTAATGGTATGCATAATTTTTCCATTTCAGATTTATAATTTTTTTCTTATTTTATCTGAGAAGTGTCTCTATAATCTCCTAACTTACTATTCAAAGTACCATCATATTCATCTCTACCAGCAAACTTTCTCATTCATTCCATCTCTTTTTATTATTATTTTGTGAACATCGATCACTAATGACTCGAGTAGTATTGATGGGTGGGAGACGGTCAAAGAACCAATAATTCCTATATTTCGGTGTCGGGAAAGATTTGTGCGTGTGTGTGTGTGTTTTGGAGGATTTGGTCACAAAATTATTTCTGCATCAGATTCTATCCCTTCTATTCCGTCCATTCCTTTAGATTCTAGTGACTGTGATAGATGTTTCCATTTGCTTTGAATGTTTATCCTCCTTTCTTTTGGTGATTTTTGAGAATGCATCTTAGATGAACAATCATATTTTCTAAAGTTGTTTTATAATGTGTGTTGAGTTTATTCGATAAATTAGATGAGTTTATGACATGACCAATATTTCAAGTTTAATCGGGTCTCGATATTTATTATTTATCATGTGAACCGGAGAGATTATTATTATTATTATTATTGATGTTGAGTTGATCGTGAGAATAATTCGAACATCGTAGCTTACCACTGTAGTCCCCATCGATGTTAGTGCACAAAATCTAACGTAAGATATATATTTATATTGTTACACATCAAATCGTATCTCAATATTTCAACGGGCCAACCGAAAGTAGTCGGTCGGTCGATCCATCGACCACTCTATGGTGTATTATTATAAGCCATGATCGTACTCGAGGTACGAAGTCATTGACCAAAGTAGACATTGAGTTGAAGATGAACCCTGAAAAAAGCTGATGGTAATGCATGCCCTCTGCAATCGCTCCTATTCCAGTTGAAGCTTTTTCCATCACATCTCGTCAGGATGAGGACCACCAGATCAAGTGGTCCGCCAAGACCGACGTCGTCACAGTTGAGTGGGGTCAACACTCGTCTCCCTTGTGGTGAGCATCTTCCTCGCTGGGCCTATGCATCTGTTGCATCGCTCTATAGCTGACACAGTTCAACTTTATCTTCTCAGATAGGACAGATTCTTCTGAGGTTGCTCAGCTTGCTTTAAGGTCATGAGAGCAGCACACTGCACTGCACTGCACTTTCCTTTTCCCTTTTAGCTTTCAATGAGCTGTCGATATTTGTTGGTGGATGCACAACTGGATGATTTTGATAGCACTCGAACCCTGTCTCTCTACTGTGCTATGTTGATAAGTATGTTACTTACAAATTTTAATTATATTTAGAAATCAGATTTAAATTACTTCTGATAAGATTCTATTTTTTTTAGGGTTATAATTAGGATTATGGATTTAGTAAGGAAAAAGAGCTCTCGAATTTGATGAGAGAGAGGGATGTAGAAGAAAACATCAAAGGTTATTAAAGGTTTAAGTGGAAGGGAATGTAAGAACTTTAGTAGGGCTTGGATTTGGCTAAACTTAAAATAGATATTTCTTATATTAATTGTTTATATAATAAAAATTAATTTTCTCTATAGATATAAGTAATATAAATCTTATATCAACTTTCTTACAAGTTCTTCATTTATTGATCTTTATCTTCTCTTTAAACCATTAACTTGCTTTTGTGATGTAGAAAATGGTGTATTAAGTTCAGGATAAATTAGCTTTCTTTTTGTTTGGAGAGTGTTTCAGGTATATTTAACACCATGTTATCTTGCAAGTGGAATCCATTGCAATCTTGAAAATAATAGCTTGTCTCTAAAAATCGAGACATCTACATTCCAATGATACTTAAATGAATGTTATTAAACATAGTTTTGGAAAGCTCAATGATTAGACTACACACTTTACTTAAGAATTCATGCTTAGTTTACCACAAAAAAGGTGCAGAGAACTGTGATGCAATTTGCACTCCATGATTAGCAGGACTTGCACAGCAACGTCCTTTTAAAGCCACATTTGCACTCCATGAGAGATCCTAAGTATCGCCATTAAAGTGGTTGGTCGCCTGTCGCTGTAGTTGTCAACGTCGAAGAACAACTTGGAGATACACTCCGATTGCATGAAAAGATCTACCGCTTGAAACGCTACAAGCGATAAGGGACTTGACAGACGTATGCATTTAAGAGGATGAGACAGAGATGACGGAGGAGAGATAGGGAATTATTATTTTCTTAATTTAAGAACTCGTTTTATAAGAAATTATTTCACTGGATATAATCTATTATCTCGATAACTAGCTTAAATATGATTTACCTTAGGAGTCTTCGATCGAGATAGAAAAAATATTTATCTAATAATAAAAAATTATTTTATGAGTTATAATCAATTGTCAACAACATGACTTGTCTTAGGAGTTTCTAGACTTGCTTGGTGTGTTTCGAAATGCTTGATATAGAATCGATCTATGTTAAGTGGGATTTTCAATGTGATTCCTTTGATTATTAAACTTCGGGAAATAAAGATGGGAGAAAAAAGAGTTAGACCTCTATAATTATATCTTATTTTAACTTTTATAACTTATCCTCTCAAAAACTTATGGTCAAGAAAAATATTTTATCAAACAAAAATTATCTTATTTTATTATAAAATACCACGTGTGAAGCCTTGGTTAGATATGTATATTTCTCCGATCACTTTGAGTATGAAATAGCATTAAGAAACACAATTTTGGAATTAACAATGGGAATGCGTGGAAGCATAGACTAAATATGACTATTTGGAGTGGGGTTGCAAGATGCTTTGGCTGCAAAATTGAAGAGGTTGTAACACTGCAATAATACAAGACTAAAATTTTCTCAGTATTATTGCAATGATACTGCAATAATCAAGAAGAATTGGCTCATATATATATGTTGGACACTAACAAGTTTAAGACATCTCAATGATTTGATAGCAAGAAGGAATTGCTTGCAACTTTTTACACAACAATCATCATCATCATCATCTCCTGACGTACCGTTGTGGAAACTGGCACGCTTAATCCAATTATCCCAACATATGGCACTCAATAAAAAGAAGCCTCAGCTAAACATTCTGTCGATTTATACCTACGGATATCAAACATTCGTGCCTAATTAATCAGTGCCGTCCCAAACTTTGACAATCCAATCTAGTGATGGACAAATCAATTATCTTAGATATTCGGCTACTATTAAACGGGTTAGATTGGATCAAATCATCGAGTTCGATAGAATCGAACCCAAAATTGAGATAACTGATGCTTGAGAAAAGGGTTGCGAGGGGGGAGTCGCTCGTCATCCTGACGTCATGGTAAGCCTAACTGGTAATCTAACCTGACCAAACCAACCGCACATGGCAGTTGGGAGGCGTTTGCTTACGGTTGTGGTACAGAAACAAACTTGGAGCCGACACGCACCACCGCCACCTCACTTCGTCCTTTCCTCTTCCCTCCACCCTACTACTACTGCACCTAAACGCGTTCCGTGAGACATGGCCACGTGTGGGTCCCCACGCGCAGGGAGCATCCCACGAAATCCTGCACCCTCCCCCGTCCCTAACCCATGCAATCACGTCGGAGAGGGACGTGAAGTGCCCTGCTCCGCCCTCCCCCCTCCCCCTCCCCCCCATTGTCAACCACTCTTCTACTGACTCCTTCCCTCGGCCCTCTTCTTTTACTGTGGGTATATGTTGGCGCGGCAAACTCACATGGCGATTTCTGCATCTGTGGGCAGCCCTTGTGGTGTAGGTTCGAACGAGGGGACTGTCCTGCCCTCCATGTCCACATTCTGTTGCTGACTGTCTTGTCTCTCTTGCTCGCATGTGACCGATGCCCACTCCAAAAGGCAACCTTTCCTGCCCTCTTCCCCTGAGTTGGGCGCCTTTCCACTCCTGTGGAACAGGAGCGCAGCTGCCCCATGTGGCTGTCTGAAAGTGGGATTCACCTCATGTTAAGCCACAGGGCTCACCCTGGCTCTGTTTGGGGACCTGATTGCACTCGGAACAGCGAGATACGATGGGCCAATGGATTGGCCTACGAGCTGCGGCCTGACCACACCACCTCACATGGGCAGAATCCGATTCTTGTAGTTAATTGCCGCCAGATCTCGGACTTGTATTCTAATGTATGAGTTCCCCAGAGGAAACGACAAGGCGCAGTATCCTCAAGGTTTCGGGCTGAGACGAGGGAGACAAGGTCACACAGGCTACTGCTCGGGTTGAGCGTCAGGAGATATTAACACAGGGTTGACGGCAGCGAGGGGGAGGAGTGGCCGGAGATGATTGGCGGAGAGCTTGGTAACCCGATGGGACCATGGTAAGAGACAGTAGGGAACATGTGGGCCTCCACGCTTTCCCGATACAGGGTTCATCCTCCTCGGCCTATTTTACCGGGCTCTCAGGCTCCATCGAGTCTACTTCCCCAGACCTCTCTACCCCCCTTCGTTTCCCCTCTCCAAGTCCCCTATAAAAGTTCTCTCCCTCCCTCCCTTTTTGTCTCTGCTCTCTCGCACCACTTTCCCTTCTCCCTCCTAAATCACTTCAGCCTTCCCAAAGGATGTCCAGTAGGAGGTCCAGGATCTCAGAGGAGGAGATCAATGAGCTCATCTCCAAGCTACAATCTCTGCTACCGGAGACCCGCCGACGAGGGGCCGGCAGGGTAAGCAAACGCATCCTACCAAGTTACTCAACTCGGCTCCCCAGGTGGTAGTCTGACCTGCGCCTGTTTTCTGATGTGTAGGCTTCATCAGCAAAGCTGCTGCAGGAGACATGCAACTACATCAGGAGCCTCAGGCGGGAGGTCGACGACCTTAGCGACCGCCTGTCGGCGCTCATGGAGACCATGGACAACAACAGCGCCGAGGCGGAGATCGTCCGGAGCCTCCTCCGGTCCTGAGCATAGTTATCCTCACTTTGCTTCATCTCTAGTCAGGGAGGTCAACACCAACATATCCACATATATAATGTGCCATTTTACTTACCTGTTTCCGCCGAGTTTCCTGTACATCTTTCCCTAACTTTGGAGTTCTGCCTCGAGTTGTTTCTTCTGCAGACAAGCGACCGACAGCTGCTTAAAACAAAAAATATTCATGCAATCCGAGTTCTACTTGCTTCTGTCTCCTATATTTTATGTCTGCTTCTCATCTGTAGCTCTATCCACACGCAAGCGAGAGGGGAGCGTCTTGTTAAATGTCACGGTCATAGTGTATATATATATATATATATATATATATATATATATATATATATCCATGTGCTCGCATGAGATCAATGGCACGAGGCATGTTGGCTTCCGTGAATTCTGAAATCCAACTGTAGATGGTCAACTTGAAATGCATTGCATCCATTTCCTTTTGTTGAATCATTTTTTGATGTCCTTGTTCGAAAACTACTAATAGTAGAACTTCCTGGATCAGCAACTACTAATTATTTTTTGAGGACACGGAAGAGTAGGGTAGGAAGTGTCTTTTATGGGTGTCTCGACCATTAATCGGCTTCCAAATAAAATTTTCTTATCCAAAAAGAAAACAAGTGATGACAGGGATGACTCACTTCGACCGAGGCAGAGTTCAGGCTACGAACTCTGCCGTTGGTGCAGGCGGCTACGGAATCCACCGTCCGATGGATCTTCAGGAGTAAGGACGTCGGGAGGCCCAGTGGGTGGAGGGCCCACCGCTTGGCTTCCGATCGGGGCAATCGAATGAACCTACCCTCCGCCTACCTCTTCCTCTCTCACGCGTTTTCTCCCCCTTTGACAGACTCGAGAACTTACCTCGATCAAATAGAAAACGGGCAGAAATCGAACGGCACATCTCCTTTAAATGGAGAAAAGCAACTGTTCTATATCCATATATGTATGCGTATGACCAGTCCTAACATAGCCAAAAATAAAATTGAACTAACTTTGTACACCAGAGAGTGACGAGGAGGAAAACAAACCCAAGAAAAAGAAAAAAAGGAAAATTATTCGCCCGTTCTCACGCACAGGAAGTCTGGTCCGCGCGACCTGCACATGACAATAACAAATCTTAAAAAAAAAAGACCGTAGCAAGAAAAATGGGCATTAAAGCATCGTTTAACGACTGCCGTCCGATCGAAGTGATCAAGCTAAGAGAGAAAGCGAACGGTGGATCATAGAGACGAGTGATGGAAACGAGATCAGATCGATTTGGGAATGAACATTAAAAGTAAAGATGCAGAAAGGGAACAGAACTAACCTAAGCTGATCCGATCGCGGCCTTGCGGTTCCCGAGCGGGGAGGACGGCCGCGCGGATCTGGAGCAGAGAACAGCACCGGTGGCGTCATGAGGGATGGCGGGGAACCGGTGGTCCCTCGCGCTCAATCCCTCGCCGGCGCCGTCGCCGATCCTGAGGTCCTCCTCCCGGATCTTCCGCACCTGGATGTGGGCCAACGGCCGGGATCGGATACTCCCATCCACGTCCGGCGGCGCTTTCTCCTCCACCCCACCCACGCCCATCGAGATCGCCGCCGTATGAAGTCTCTCTCCCGCAAGGGTCTCACTTCGAGAAAGTGGGGACTCCTGGGGGCGTAAAAGGGACGAGAGATAGGCGCGGAGGTTTGCAGCTGCGTTTACGGCACGCGACCCGGGCGGGTATGATATTTGAAAGGCGTGAAATGTGAAGAACGGAGATGGCTCGGGCGGGCCACGTGGAGAACAGATATTGAATCCACGAGTGAAAGGTGGTAGTCGTTCGGAGAGCGACACGTGGAGGCAATTGTGGTGCCACGTTTTAATCTGAGTTGTTGGATTACCGCGGTCGGCGACCGAGGAGTCATCATCGAGCAATCACGTGCGTGGTCACGTGTTATGACGTGGCTCAACTTTTTTGGTTACTTGATTGCTCCATGATTGCGGTGGCCGAAACGGCAGTCAAGGTTGTTGAATTCGAAGATGTCGTGGAATCATCATATCATGGAAGATGTCGTGGAATCATCAGATCTACGACTCAGTTTGATGAACAATGAAGCTCAATACTGAAGCATCAATCAAAACCAAATATGAAAACAATGGCGTTATCTCTCTCCACCAGAAAATAAACAGAAAATGCAACAAGAGTAGATTACTCGCACAAAGCCAGACAACGTAAGGCCCGTCTCAGTTTAATCCACCAGCCTACTACTCATTGCAAGAACACGTGAACAAACTGAAAAAAGTAGATGGTCGTATACTTTTGCTGAACTTATGGGAAACAAGAAAAGATGGTAAGCACGAGAAGACGTGGTCGGCGCACCTACTAGCGACAATAAACACGTTTCAGGATTCAGTATCTATAATCTTGATCAAAGATCGGGTAGTTTTCGCTCCAGGATTTAGATTCTCTTTCAGCATGAGACACTCCCACGGTTTGCGCCTCCTCCAAAATGGTACGCTTGCTCCTAGATTTAGATGCTCTTTCAGACTGCAAATAAAGATTGTGTTAGACAAGGAAAATGTATTACTTATTGTACTTTCTCAAGATAAAGGAAAACTAAAAAGGTTACCTAGAAGGAAGATGGTATTCGGGTCCGAGTAAAATGTCAATGAAGTGAGATAAGAACGTCCAGAAGACATTACAGACGCCAAAAGAAATCTCAATCGATTATTAATCAGAAATCGAGAAACATAAAGAATGTGATACTGACTAACAGTATTGTCTGCCTTCTGAAGCAAGATGAAGAATTTATCACATTAAAACTAGAGGAAGTTACTATGAGCTGCGTCCTGAAGCACATCAGAGGTTGATAACTTTTCATTCAAGTCTTATCGGAAAACTATTCGACTAGAGGTGAAATCAATTGATGATGACAAAAAGTATGTATGGTTCAATTTGTTCTTGTCACGAAAACAGAAATTTGCTAAAGCAATAGTCTTGTTTAAGTTGAAATGGTAAAACACACTTAAGTTTCTACGATAGGTCCTACATTAAACAACGTTTTTAAGCATTGACACAGCCAAAAAAAAAAAAATCAGATTAGAGAATTATGAAAAATTGCAATCACTGCACCAGAAATACAAGAAAAAGCCAAAAGGGGTGAACCAGTGCGCAAAGCTACTGCCATGCAAGATTTAGGGGGGATCAATAACTTTATCATTGGAAGCAAGGAAAAACAACAACTAAAAAGGTTATCAATCAAGCATACCTTGCTTATTAGCTTCTCAAATGCTTCTGGTCCATTCTCTTCGATGTATCTCTCAGCTGCTGATAATAAATCATCTGGTTTGTCGAAAGTGTCCTTCTTTCCGGGGACATACCACACGTTTACTGTCTGATGGTTCACAAATAATGGCCTCACAAAATGTTGATAAACATAAGCGGCACCATTGAAGTAGGGCAAGACCAACCAGCAGCTCAACATCAATTTTGCGTATGACCAAAAGGGAATCCTACCCCACATGTGAATTGCAACAGAGATAGAAATATAAGTTGATGTCTTGTGTGAAACAAATTTATGCAGGATAGAAATGATAACACTGCTTGGATTTTATATGATCAAAACCCATACTAAGGGTATGAGTGATGCCACTCAGTGAGTCACAGTCCGTGCTGTAAGGACAGCATTGTAATAATCAGCATGATGAGAAGTAAGACTAGGACAAAATCAATTGACTAACAGCAATAAGAAAAGGCATTTCACAAAGTTAAGGAGAATCTAGCAACGTGACCATATAAAAGCAAAACGGTGCAAAAAAGACTACATCATGCACTAATTAATGTCAGGTGCCTACAAAGCATTTTCATGCATAGTAATCTTGGTTTATTATTTGCTATATTGAATGTCAATTAATCTTCATCACAAGCAAAGGAATCCTGAAAAGATTAATATTTTAGCCATTATGTGGAATGTTAAATTTTCTACAATCCAAAAGCAGCCTTCTGATGCATTACAGATGTATCGTTAGAAATAGAATTGTCACATTTTTAGAGTAAGATACTATGGCATTAATCTCTGAATAAAAAGGTTCAAATGAATCAACATGCAAGTAATACTTCATCAGATTGAAAGTGCATGAACAATGGAGAACCAAGAATAGATGCCCAACAAAAAAGCACAAAGAATGAACAATCATCTGGTATCAGCTAAGAAGGAAAAAAGATCATGACTAACCATTCTAGTACTTTTGCAAAAGTAAGCTCAAACAGTGTGATAAATGAGTACAACACCCAATAAGTGAGCCATTGTTGGTCATCAACAGGAGATTTGGTTTCTATTGCTTTGACTGATGCATACCTGTCAAGATCTAGCAGAGCTGAATTCTGATTGAAAACTATAAAAGAAAAAAGTTCATATAAGTGCAAGGATCAAGTCAAAATTGCCACTTACAGTGGATATACAAGAGTTACGACTGGCCTGCAAATCAAAACCAGATAAAGTGCTTAACAATGCATAGAAAACAGGAATACAACCAGAATGTAACCATGTCAAATGAGAAATGCTTAGAACAAGTTAATATTTGTTTAAAGAAGAAATAGTCATTGTCTCAACACAACAGGTCAACAGATATATTTTTTAACCAGAAGACCTATAATGCTACATGTAAGCTGAAACATGTAGAAGACCAGGAGTGAATTTGAAGGTAGAAAGAAATGGGTAGAAGATGATATTGTCTTCTATAAGGATTTTAAGATTTGCTGTGATAGCAAATGATGCATTATAAAAAGTTGTGATAATCCACTATTGTGCTATAATCTAACATAAATCCATCACAATTCTAGGACTATATATATATATATATATATACATATGTATGTATGTATGTATGTATGTATGTATGTATGTATGTATGTATGTATGTATGTGTGTGTGTATATATGTATATATATACATATATACATATATATGTGTATATATATGTATATATGTATGTATATATGTATATGTATATATATGTATACATATATACATATATGTATACACACACACACACACACACATACATACAACAGAAGTTGGGAGCCTAGGATCCTGCGATAAATTGTCAAAGTCTTTATTAGCTAGCGGACATCAACAGAAGTTTGTGAGATATATGATGTACACATGAATGGTTTGATCTAACCACCTTGTAAGTCAAATTGAAGTGACAAATAAATAAAAGCCTACTAAATCTAGTGTAACAAGGAAAATGGAATTGAAAAATTACAAGAAACTAATTATCCAAATCAAGTTAAAATAGAGAACATCAAAGCTTATTACGGTAGAACAAAAAACACATCAGGTAATCTCAGATGGGAATTTCCCAAAAGATTAGAAGGAGATTACATACAATATTTTCCAACTGATGTACAAATTCTACAAGAAAAAAAAAAATGGAACGGTTCTAATTTTAAAAACAACAATTTCATAAGAAAAAGGAAGAGGCAACGGGAAGAAGGGTTTAGATAAGAGAAGGCACGCAAAAGTTCCCGGACGTAAATTACAATATGAGAATTCTACAGCAATTGTGTCACAAAGAAAATTATTACAGAAAAATAACAGACCCCGCAAGTTCTTCACAGCTAAACAAAGAATAATCTAATTAGGCAAAAGGGTGGCAGATGACTGAAATCTAAGAAAGAGGTCTTCGAATTGGTTGAAATCAAGAACAAGGAGAAAAACCAACAGAACCATGAATCGCCCAAAAGATCGCATCGCATGCTTCAAGCGATGATATTCCAACAAGAAAAGCATCGATTTGGTGCGGGGAAATCCTACCCGGCAAGAACATCGAAGTTTTTGAACACCACCTTGAGGAAAGCACCCGATCCCATTCTCCTCTTCGATCCAAAACCCCCTCCTCTATCTCGCTCGCGCCTCTTCTATCTCTCTGTCTATTCCAGAGCCACGGAGGCCCTTTACCTTCTTCTCTCTCCTCTATTCAATGGCACGCATAGACACTTTTATGCGACCAAAGGATCTACCGTTGATTATAACTTATTTAAGCGTTCCCTCCCCACCGTCGTCCGTTTTGGCATTATAATTACATGCTGTGTTTCCGCTTCAACTATGAAATTTAATTTAATGTGACCGATTCGTTGTCACGTCGACGTACGAGGGTAGTTTTCTGGAGTTGGTCAGCGAACCCACCAGCTCGGTCCGATCCGAACCCATCGGACATCGGGTCGGACCATGGCGTATCGATCGAACCGGAATTCACCAATTTTAACCGCACGATGAAATGGGATTAGGCACAAAACTAATTTCTAAGGACCAAATTTAAAATATTGAAAATATTTGAAGAGATAGGAGACACATTCATCTCCAAGACATGTGACTGGCAGCTTGGTAGAAGAGGACAAATGACAATGGAACGAATTCACGATGACAGCAATCGAAACAGAAGGGATTAGGATTTCCCCATCTAAAAAAGGCTTGTCAATAAATCTCACTACTATATAAATCCATCTTGCAGGGACCTATCGAGAGGTGCTTCCGACAAAGATTTTGTTGCAGAAAAGAAGGCGTTGAAGAGTGGTTCGGCCTCGAGGATCTTCATCATCGATCATCGAGGATCAATTCCATCACGGTCAAATGAGTTTTGCCTCCTCAATCTGTGTGAGCCTGCTAGTGTGCGATCGGTTGTCTTCCCCATTAGATCTGAAGACCTGCATAAAACTAGTGACCTTGTCTCCAGACGCATGGAAGCGAAGATAAGGGACAAGAAGCAAAGGTACTCATAAAACAAGAAAGAAATGGTGATTGCATTATAGCACTTTGACAAAGCTACGAAAACGTCATCCTGAATTCACACACAGAACATGGCTTGCATTTGTATGAGAGAAATTAAAATCAAAGGATGAAAAGGAGACAAACGTAAGACATGAATGCATGCAAGGTTGGAGGACCGATCGAGAGCTACGCGCCGGGCCTGCTCGACGTCCGAGTGCTTATTGTGGCCCCGACCGCATCGCTTGGGAGGTGTTCGGTGGCCGAGAAGTACTGTCTGGGGCTGCCACGATCCCCATGTGCCCCTCACCACCGCCACTACCACCGGGATGGAGACCCAGCTCCCGGCTTGGCAGAAGAGCCATGGAAGTAGGTGCCTTCATGAAATGTAGCCCACTGGAACCAGGTCCTCTAAACATGGTGCTGCTGCCCACCTGAGGGAATGCCCAGATTGGCTCGCTATCGCTTCCCCCACCACCTACCATACCTTGTGTGTTAGGGTTTGTCACCATCCACACAGTTCCTGGGATCCGACCGTGGCTTGCCTGGTTATGTTCTTCCATCTGATGCTGCTGTTGATGGTGAAACTCCGATTCCCACCAGCGCTTGGTAATGTTTTCGTTGTTGGCATCTGATGACGCGTGGAGCCCAACGCTACCGGAATTGAAGTTTAGGAGAACGGATGATGATGATGATGATGACGACGACGACCGCCAGTCGGAGGAGAAGTCCGAGCTGCCGACGTAGTCCCATATGCGCTGGTCAGTGAGTGGAGTGGTCGTGGTGTTGAAGTCAGGAGGAGTGGAGATGCTCGAGCCAGAGCGTCGTAGGGAGATGCCGAGGGATGTGAAATTGGCAGGGATGGTGCCACTGCCGGTGGCGGCGATGACAGCCGGCTCGGCCTGCTGTAGGAGCCACTCGATGGTCTGGCCGTCCGACTTGTGGCCGAGTTCGCGCGTCAGCTGGAACACGCGGGCCGCGCAGAGGGTGGGCATCCTGATGCGGCGGCCGCGGCCATCGACTTTGGTGTGCCGGTCCTTGGTGGAGCTCCGCTTAGGCGCCGGCTTTCTCGGGAGATCAGCGACGAGCTCATGGCCGCTGCCTCCCGCAGCGGGGTTTGGGGAGATAGCGAACGAGGCGTAGCCCGAGGTGGAGTATGAGTTCGCTTCCTTCTTTTCGAGAAGCTGGAGAGGGAAGTTTGGCCGTCGAGGTCCGCCTGCATCGCCCTCCATGTTTGGATCAAACCATGGCAGTGGAATAAGGACTCTGAGGCTTTATGAGTGGTGGGAACGAGAACAGTCCGAACGACTAGTGTCTTTGGAATAACTCCAAGAACAAAGAAATATAAAGGCTCTGATTGTTCAAAGTGACAGATGGTGGATCTCAAGGAGCAGCTGAGAGACTCAACTTAACTCGGGCAGTGGCGAGAACAGAGAGATTGATGGATGAAACGGGCGATAGGGTTCATGTCAGTATGTTATGCACAGGAGAGAGTGGTGAGAATAAGGGAGAAAACTTCAAGCAACAAATGGAATGAGTGAACATTACATGGTGGAATGCAGTGCAATTGAGGGACCGCTTCAGCATGCATGCATGCTTTTGTTCTCTCTTTAACTTTTTCTACCTCCTCATTTCACTATCATCCCTTCGACTTTTGTTACTCCACATGCAGTTCTCTTTATCATTCAATCCTCCAGGTTAAAAACCCAGCTGGGACTGCAAAGGAAAGATGATTGTGTCGGTCCTCTCTCTCCTGCACAAACCACTCTCCTTTCACTAACTATCATGGTTGGATCCCTGGATGTGTCCTCCGAATCCTCTCCCTTGTAGTGTTGCCGAGCTCCTCTTTCATGGCTAGTCTCTTGCTCAAAATTTTAGGGCATAGCTTCGCTTGCTTTGTACTGCTTTTGAGCTAAACTTTTGCTCCTCATCCTCTCTCCTAATGATTTTTCTGTAACTAGAGCTGGGTGAAATAGTTCCATGACGTACATCTAATAATTAAAGCATCAACATGCACTCAATGTCCATGGTGGTACCTTTCTTGTGCCAAATAATAGGAGACAAGTGCATGTTATGGAGAAACAGCATTTGGCATTATAGGGTGAGTGTTGGTGACTGAATGCATGATGTGTTCATGACTCACCTGGTGAAGAGACTGATTGAGGTGGGCATGAATCCATGCAAAAAAAACTTACCCAATCAAAGAAGAACTTGTAGACCTGCAGCATTTGTGTACTTGATTCTGGTGGTTGACAATGTTCACCAAGCAATGGAATCAAAGCCAGCAAGGGTGGTAATGTATAAGACTGCAGAAAACTGGGCTATGTAATCATCAGGTTCTCTTTGTTTAAAGTGCATGTCACTGGAAAATAAAGGTGTGATTTGGAATCATTACAAAGGCTTCAAAAGGACAGAAGGAAGGGGGGAATGAACGAGAGGGCAATGTATTTTTTATAGCTTTTAAGACAAGTTAAACTATAGATAGATTCTTGCTGTGCCTTCTTTGAAGGGTTAAGGCATTTGGAGGAGCTCTTCAGGGGGGCATGAACCAGAATTCATGGCTGAGCAGGGATGGTGGGCAAAGTAAAGGAAGAAGGAAAGGCTTTTTCAAAGTCAAAACCATCAGCTAATTTGGCCCATATAAAAAAAAAATATCACACAGACAAATTCAATAACAAAGTGAAGAACAAACAGGATTTCATTGGACATGTAAAACAATTATATGATTGATAATAAGATAATCTATAGTTTCACTTCCCCACAAAATGTTCCAAGATGTGAAGAAGGTTGGATAAGAATAAAGGACACTGACACGAAAAGCAGGATAGTTAAGCAAATACCTTATCTCATTATGTAAGAGTGGATTTGGTAGGCAAGTTTTGTAGGCTGGATAGAAATAGAAACTTCACCTTCTGCCCTATATGCCAGAAAGGTGAATTCCCCAGTTCTATAAGCAAAAATTTCAGCTGGTCAATTAGCTAGCTGTAGCAGCTCAGAAGTTCCACATTAGTTTTTTTTTTTAGTTTTTTTCATATGGTAATCTTTATGAGATTATACTTTCTAAATTCGATATATATTTAGTTCTAATTTATTGAGATATATTCGGAGTATAATTTGATAGTACCCATTTGAAAGGTTAATATTGAAGAATATTATAACATCATCATGTGCTTTTTTTTTTTTTTTGAAAGGATAAGTGACATGACAGTATTTAAGTTAAAGACTTTGCGATAAACTATCAAGATCTTTACTATCTAAACTAACTCTTACCTTTCATGTTTAACTTAAAACTAATAACTTACTTCCAATTGTAATCCTACTAATGGCACAACTATCGCCAACAAGGCATAATTAATTTGAAAAACATAGAATGACGTAGGGTGATTTTAATATAAATGTGTTTGTATCGTAATTTCACAAACAATAGTGTGTGCAAATTTTAATTTTATTTTGACTAAGCCAAGGTTCATATTTTTTTTTTTACATTATTTAGAAAATACATTTGAAGTCTGAAAGTGCAATTAGAATTTTGAGTCACTAATTTAATTGATGAGATTTAGCAATCTACAGTTAATTGGGCCGGCCCAACTATCTGTCTGCTTAAGCCCGTTCTATGGACCATTTCTTGATTCCATTGGAGTCGATCACCATATCAGCGACGGTGGATTGCGAAACAATGCCGAAACCTATAACAAATAGCGATTGATTCACTTCGTGTTGCTCTCTTGCTCGCTCGTCTTCGAGCCCTCTGCATTTCCCGACTGAAACCCTAACCTGCGATCGAGAGACGCGTCGTTTCGTTCGCCACCGGCGGTCGGTCGATCGGCTCGAGGTATCGGTTCCGGCGCCACCGGAGGCGGTCTTCGCCGCGCGATTTGTGGGGGCGAAAAAGGGTCGGTACTCGTGGTTTGCCGCTGTGGCGAGGATGAGCGCCCAGAAGAAGCGGACCTTTAAGATCGAGGCGTTCAAGCACCGGGTGGAGCTCGATCCCAAGTACGCTGAGCGAACATGGAAGGTGTTGGAGCATGCGATCCACGAGATTTACAACCACAACGCTAGCGGCCTCAGCTTCGAGGAGCTCTATAGGTCGACAACGATCTCCTTGCTTTCTGATTCATTCCCGTCTCTCTTTGTTACTGAATCGTCTTTTTGTGTGTAAATTGGATCCTTTAGCTTATATAGAATTAGATTGAAACCATAGTCTTTTGTTCTGTAGATATGTTTTAAATCTCTAATTTCCTGGTAATTTAATTCGGTTATGCTTTCCTCTCTTTTGCCAAAGAATGGAAGCTCGAGGTTTCTCAAGTATATACTAGTTTGGAGTTTTAGTTTTGAGGATGATTAAAGGCGAGATGGATGTTTCTGTCTTATTTCTATATAATTACTCTTTGTATTCCTTAACCATAAAGGTATACGGTGAGCTTGGAAACCTGTGCTAGAATATAAGCAACTGTTCTTTCTGTGCTCAAGTTCAGACCACGGAGGTGAATTATGTGTAGCCATATCCTGAAATTGGCCGGGGTGTTATCCTTGACTGGGGTGTTATTTGTTGATTAAGTCATTACATGGGCATATTAGTTCATGTTAGATGACTGACTCAGCAGGTAAAATTTCGAGTTAGGCAACAAAACTTAGAATCTGTACTCTGCACTGCAAAATCTTAGCCTCTTTAGTTTCTACAGAAAGAACTGCAGATTGTTCAAGAGGAAAAAAGTATACTTTCTTGTGTGGTATGCTTTTGCATGTTAGCTTTGATTATGGTTAACTGATTTTGGTTCCTGCTTGATTTTTAATGCATCTATGCATTTAAATCAGAGTTAAAGGTGCATTTGGGAAAACATTTGAAATGCGAATTGAGGGTCCAATGCACATTTCAAATATAAATTGGTGTTTGATAATTTTTTTTAAAATCATATTTGGCTTGGATGTAGCATTGCAAATGCTCAAATATAATATTAGCATTTCAGTATTTGTGGGATGCTTTTTTTTTTTTAAATTTCTCAAAGTACTCTGTAATATTCTCTAAAATCACAAGATTACCACTATATAATAGAAATCCTTATCCTTATTTTTTCTCCTCTTCTCTCAAAAACCAACATGATTTATGTATTATATAGGGTGAAAATTTTCATTTATATGATTATTTATTTATTTGTTTATTATATATCTGGAGCATACGATTTTTTTTTAAATTACGTTCATTTATTTATTAACATATTAATTTAAATAAAAAATGTATTCACTTTTGGAAAAAATTTAAAAATGTAAGTAGGGTAAATTTTTGACATATTAATTCAATGGACTATTGAAATATAATTTTACCAGACAACATTTATGTTAATGTATATTTAAAATACAGTTTTCATCTATTGTTTATCAAACACTCAAAGCATGCCAGAACTGCACATTCACTCAAAACCCTTTTTTCCAAATGCATATTAAACATACAAATGTATTCCCAAATGCACCCTAAGTCAGTTTGAAACTTATTTTAAGTGGAGAAAGCCTTGTTATGGTATATGTTAAAATCATCTTAGGTCCTGGTCCTAATCTAATTTTACCATTTTGGAAGGTACTTATAATGGATTTTCATATTAACATTGTAAAAGAGGTCAAATGCATTTAATTTTGGATCTTCTTCAACTTAAATATTGGAGTTCAGTTGGTTGTGAGTTAACTTCCTTTGATAAGTTTGGGAGACTGGTCCTAATTAGTTGTTTTAGGAAAGGGGACCATGGGCCTATATCCTCAGATTTATGTCTTTGTGAACATATAATTTTGGTCCATTAAGTTTTCATAAAACTGGGTTTTTGAGTTCATGAAGCAGATAGGTCCTCTTCTTGTTTCCTTTCGGTTAGTGTTTTCTGTTACCTTGTTTATTTTGTATCCCTTATTTATGTATCTTTCTGTTTTGCTTGAATGTTATACCAATGTCTCTTTCTCTTTGTTTATCACCAACTGGCCTATAACTCTGTTTGATCCAAACCACTGACCAAAATACTTAAACTGAAATTATCCTAGTACACTCATCAAACCTTTATAAGTCAATCTTAGTCTTTGCTCACTTCCGATGTGGGACTAATTAGGGGTGTTACATTGTTAGTTCTTGATCCCTTTTGTCTTCATATGTTTACTGATAACCTACAGAAATCTTGCAGCAGTTGTTTAGTAAACAGTCAAGCAACCACTACTAGTTGTTTAGCCACACTAGTTGTTGCATTTATTTGTAGTGATCTACTTCCTGTCTGCCAAATTACTTACATATATAAGAGTGGAACATGCATGAGATGACAAAAGAAGTTGAATTATATTCAGTTTCTGATTAATGTGATTGTTAGGACATGAACTTTGGGGTGCCTTCACATCTATGCAATAATCCTTTTAGAATATAGATGAGGACTGA